AGGACTCATGTGACTGACTCTTTTGGAATAGGATTTATACCCAGCATCCTACAGCCAGCATGGAATTTTCAAATTAACTTGCTGAGCAATACATTATAGGGACGCTTAAGGACAATTGATTAAGTGCATTACCATGCAAGTACCGCTCAGGCCTTTAGCATTAACCCTTTTTTAGGACAGACGGTGTGCACTTTTGATATGACACCCCGATACAAACATTTATGGTAAACATGACTCCCCAGCCCCCTCCCATAGTGTAAGCTAAGCTTTTTATAGGATATTTCCGAACATACAAAAGGTAAGTATTAATGTTAATTTTATGTTTAAGTTATGCGATCTGGAACATGCAACAGATCTAAAGTTGGTGTTATTCCAATTTGGCTGCAAAGATTTAAATACACTTTACATATTTCAAAGGAAACCCTGTTTATGCAGCTGTCATAGGATAGGTGGAATCCAAGGAGCAATCCAAAGCAAGTGCAGTAGGTAATCATGCCAATCCACCAACTTCAGCAAAGAGGAAAAAGAAAGAAACAGAGGAGCGAAATAAAGAAAAAAAGAAAATGGAGTAGGCATGGGCTTTTGTCAGCCCGTTCACTGCACCTCTTTCTTCTCCCACAACCGGTGTCCCCAGAATAACTATGCAGTTCTCCTCCCTGCTGCAGACTGAGACTGTCAGCGGTCTCTCCTCACAAGCTGTAATCTGCTGCAGCGGTCTGTCAAGAGTGGACACAGATCGCTGTAGCCGATTTACAGCCTAAGTCTGCAGCAGCGAGGAGAACTGCATAGTTATTGTGGTGGGAGAAGAATGGAAGATGCAATTCCCCATCCGCCCACTTGCTTGCCACCGCCCCCCACCAATAGTCTAGTTGTAGAGGTTGGCCCATGTGCCACCACCTGTCTCTCTGACTGGGCCTGTATCTTCAGCTGGAGAGAGGGTCACTTTCTGTTGTCCCTCCAATGAGACATGATGGCCTTTAGTTAGCTAGCCATTTGTTGGGTTGATGAGTGGTTTGGTTCGCTCCTTGCAGTAGCGGATTAGTCTGCTGTTCGTTGGTTAGCCTTTGCTAAAAAAAAAAGCTATTTTAAATGCGCCTCCATTTTTTTTTTTTTTCAGCAATAAATGTCTATTATAAGGCGCCGCCTCTTCTGAGCACCAATTGTAAGGGGAACTGGCTAAGCTGGTAGTGGTAAACCATGCATAAGACAGGGACCACCAGGACACATGCAAGCAGCAAACACATTTTAAGCAAGAGTGTTATTTTCAGCAAGTCCATAGCATAAAACAAAACATTTGCTTGTCTGAGCAACTAAATAAATTCAAGTCCGTTATGCCCTATCAGAGCCCCCCTAATGGGTTCTTCACAATTAAAGGAGAGCTATGGGGTTAAGGCTTTTCCCCTTAGTTCTCAGGGTAACGGGAGGACACAAACTAGCGTCCTCCCGTCACCCTAAGCTCAGTATACCGCGAGCTACTGCTCGCGGTATACTGAGACGCCGCAGCTGAAGTGGATCCTGACAATTATGTCTGGATCCACCCAGCTGCTTGAGTGACAGCTGGCTCTGCCTATCTAGAGGCAGAGCCAGCTGTATCCGCCCCCGTCCGATCCGCCAGACAGCGCTGGCGGATTGGAGGGGGGAATCCGGCTCCTCCCCTGTCACGGCAGAGAGCTGTGACAGGATCGAGAGGTGAGCGAACGCCGGTATGTGTTCGCTCACTTCTCGACAGTCTCATTGTCACAGGTCGGCTAGAACTATGAGGTGAGTGAAAAGCACTCTCCTCATAGTTCTCCTTTTAACAGACAGAACATGTACCTTTTTTGTGTTCCATCAGCAGCAGGCTTCCACAGCAGAGAGAGAGAGCCTTGAGCATCCGTCTGCTCGCATAAATAAAAGCCTGTACACATCTGAGACTCATGAAAAGGGCTGGCTATAAAGTAAGATGTGAACCTTGCAATGGAGGCTTATTGCCACCCAAATGCTACAAAGCCTCCAAGACCCAGAACAGGACTTATTAAGAATCTAAGGATACATGTTTTCCTTCATTTGTCCTCAACCGCGGAGCCCCTAACCAGGTGATAAACTTAGATGACAGTCATGGCAGCCAGTGCCTCGTAGAAATGGGGGGGGGGGGGGGGGGAAAGATCTATATAGAGAGGGCGAGTGAGGCACTCCAGAGGCCTGACATTGCTCAAAGCAGCTGCTGACTCTGTTGTGTTTCTGCACCAAATGCAATGACTGCGGTGAAAGAAATGTATACTATTCCTTACAGCTAACTCCAAACCTAAATCCTCAGAAGAATAATACATGGGAGCCGTTGTACCTGGCAAAGAATTTGTAATATTTGTCCAGCCAGTCCTGACATGTATATAGCTCTACCGAACAGCGCAGGCCCCTGCTGGGGTGGGGGCCTGAGGTTTCCCTGCTGCCATTTCACTTTCTCCTACATGGCATGTCTTCAATGCGGTGACTGGACAGTGAAAGGAGAAGCAGCAGCTTGATCCTCTGTCACTCTGCGCTCTCTCCTCCTAGCGGCATTCTCCTTACAGTGCAGCACACCTGATTGGCTACTTGTGCTGCTGTACAGTAGACTGCAAACGGCATTTGACTGCAGGTGAAATTCAGGTACCTTGACTGTTTGAATAAAAAAAAATATAGATGGATATTGAGATATATATAGATATATAGATTATATTAGTAAAACAGTCAAAGTACCTGAATTTGACCTGCAGTCAAATGCCGTTTGCAGTCTACTGTACAGCAGCACACGTAGCCTATCAGATTTTGTCTTTAAATTGGTGTGGTAGTTTCATTAAAAGCTGACAGAGGACAGAAGTCACCAGCACTCAATACTATCAATAAATATGTCAATAAATGGACATATTTATTGATAGTATTGAGTGCTGGTGATTTCTGTCCTCTGTCTTGTGTCTGCACGGCACCATCCGTGGTCATCACTGCGGGAACCATCCGTGGTCATCACTGCGAGCACCATCTTCTATATTGGCCGGGAGCGTTGTGAGGAGTGCGGAGGGACTTTCCATCTACCTATCATTGAAAGCTGAGACTTCATAGGTTCCCATAATCAAGCAGCTTTTTTTATTCCAGGTTTTTAAATGGCCTTTTCCTTTTTGTTTTACTTATTTGATAAAACCTACAACAGGCACCATCTCCATCTTCTTTGCTTCATAAACACTTTTTCTCTTCCAGGGTCCTTACTGTCACCAGATACGGACCTTCCCTTGGGCTACGCAGGAGATGACCTCCACATGTCCCCCATCACCTCTGCCACGTTACCGGACTTCCTTTCTGACGAGCTGATCAGTTTGTCTCCACCTCTGACTAATGAATACCGCTTTGGCCTGGAGAATTATGAAGGTGTCGGGGAACTCTTTGACTGTGATTTTGGCGACCTGGCATCTCTCGATTTGTGAAACGGCAGATGTTCTGTTCCTATTCCTGAATCTCTGCAAGCTTTTGCCACAGCGCCTTATGCTCACGGGGCCGACATGATGACTGAGCTTTTTCACTTATTTGTATCAAGTGGACTTGCCAAAAAGTTGTTTATATATTTTATTTGATATTTGTATCTGTCTGTGTGTTGTAAATCAAGGTCTTTGTATTCATCAAACACGAGGGAATTCCAATGTTTAGAAGGACTCCACGGCATTTAATGCTGTAGAACAGCGGGCGTTCATTGACCTCCATGGCGTCCTTCAATAGTTAAGCTGTTTTGCTGCTGCAGCTCAGCATGATTGTGATCTCTGTGCCCTTCAGCATTTGCTTTAAGTTTTCAGTCCCATTGCTTTAAGTTTTCAGTCCCATAGAAATCTATGTGGATTTCCTAGCTACCCGGCACACTGCAGAACACATGGACGTGAAAGCCGGGAGAAGCATGTTCTCAGAGCAGCTTAAACTGGAACTCCAACCAAAAACATTCTCTCCGTTTTTGGAAGTTTAATTGATGTTTAGAGTCTTGTAAGTGTTCTTTTCTTTGTGTGTTCCCTTTGGGAAGTTTTCATGTCCCAAAGATCCTTGTCTGGTCTCTGCAAGATGTTTAAGTCTTCTCCACTCTGTCCAAAACAAAGGAGGTGGGAAGCTCTAGTTGGATCCAACACTAACTGTTGAACAAAGCCAAGGAGGTAAATGTAATGTCACTTAAATATAAGCTTGTAAGACCCTGTTACCATCCGATGACTATTAAGATGAGCTCCTCAAGTTAAAGTACTGTAAGCATATGCCAGGCTGTGTTTAGGAATAATTTCCCCCCGCTGTGCTGGAAATGGACCTCTGCTCTGAGACGCGGAGATTAGTGAATCTCTGTGTTCTAGACACGCATAGCTGCTCTTGCCTTCCAGTCCTGATGTTAACTAAGGACCTGGCAGGGGAAGCTTTACACGATCTGCAAACACTGTTAATGTAGGTATTCCCTCGCCAGGAACTTGGCTGATGGCAGGGTGCTCAAGCACAGGGAGTAGCTGCGTGTGTCTAGAACGTGAGTAAAAAGATTTTCGGCACAGCAGGGCAAACCATGTTCAAACCCATACCGGCTATCGTGGAATATTTTAATAAGAGATGTTTATCTTCATAGGCATGAGTTGGTGATGTGATCTCTTTAAGGAGACTGTCACTGTGATTATTCTCTCTTGGAAGCGCACCTTTCCTGCCCCACCCACTTATATTCACATTTACTGTGTCCTCCTAGCACTTCATTGGAATCCTCAGGAAACACTTGGTGCTATAACCTCATTGTAGGACACAGTCCTCCAGCCTGAATGGATAATTGCCAAACATGAGCACTCATGTGAGGAGCAGTTGTCATCAAGCCAGTGTAAGGTCTGACATAAAGCTTGCACAGGGTTTCGACTCATGGTTCAGACAGAGCATCATTGTGGTGGGAAAGCACATATAAGGTGAAGCTAAGTGGATCGGGTTGGAAGCGGCAAGAGACTG